CATTCGCTGGCTGGGGAATTCTAGGAGTTGAAGTCCGGACATCTTCAAGTTGCCAAGGTTGAGAAACACTGCTCTATACCATTCCAGAAAAATGTCCAATCTTTTCTTAAAAACTTCCAGTGTTGGAGCATTCACAACTTCTGGAGGCAAGTCGTTCCACGGGTTAATTGTTCTCACTGCCAGGAAATTTCTCCTTAGTTCTAAGTTGCTTCTCTCCTTGATGAGTTTCCATCCGTTGCTTCTTGCCCTGCCCTCGGGTGCTTTGGAGAATAGCTTGACTCCCTCTTCTTTGGGGCAGCCCCTCAAATACTGGAACATTGCTATCATGTCTCCCTTAGTCCTTCTTTTCAGTAGACTAGACACACACAATCCCCGCAACTGTTCTTCGTATATTTTGTCTTATCTGGAAGACTCTAGGAAAAGGCTGAAGGAACACCTAGCTGCTACTGCTTGTAGAACTGCTGTTACTTAAAGGAAACCTTCAGACCTGAAATAATACTTCGCTCTTCCAGCCTCAGAAGAATGAGCGCATCCCTCCCCCCCCGCCCCGAAAACAACAATAAAGGTTAGTTGTGCTGCACTACCCCCACACCCTAAATCCCCCAACCCACGCTCTTATTGCTTTAATGTAGTGGTATATTGCTTAATGAAAGTTCTTAATTGTAATTCAATTAATTACATACACAGCATCCCCAATTACATTTTCCAATAAGATATTGGCTTTGATACAGGACTAAAGGCACTTAACCAATTTTAATATATTAGGATCAATTTCCCTTGAATACTAATTGCGGTTTAATGACGAAATGAGAACCAGGAACTCTCCAGAAGCTGGGTGGGAAGTATAAAAAGGAAATTAACCATGAATAGTGCAGGGACTTCTCCCGAGGAGAGAAGAGAGGTGGGGAAAGGAGAGGAGGAGGAGGGGGGGGGGAATAAAAACCCCACTGCAACGCAGTTCCTACCGAACATCCCCAAATATGGGAAGTGGTTGTGTCCGTCTTCCCAACCGCAGGAAGGGCCGGGTGGAAAAAAAAAAGAGAAGACGTCTCGCGTGCTAATGATAATATTAAAAAAAATGTGATTCTCCCCCCACCCTCCACTTAATCCCTTGAAATATAAATACGCAAGATCTCAGAACGCAGCTTTTTTAGCGTTTGTTTTTTTCCAGCATCTGTTCAGCTCCTTAAAGAGAATAAGGGTGGAGGCCCGCATGCGTGCTTCTTCTGATTAAAAAAATAAAAAATAAAAACCGCCTTAACGCTGCAAATCTTTTAATCTGAAGAAATGGCTAATTTTAATTACAGCAGCTAAAATTAGGCGGGGGATGCCTCGCGGCAATTGGGAGATCTCTCAGGACCATCTGAAGAATGGAGTAACAGCTGTCCAGGACTATACCTCCCCCCCTTCCGCCCCCCCTCCGCCCCCCTTTAAGATATGCCATAAATGCCAGGCATGAAAGGTAGCAATCCTAAAGAGAGGAGCGGCCAGGAATAACTACAGAACTGCAATTTGTCAAAAGTACCGAACCGTGGATTTGAGATTTTAAGATCAGTTACTGAGCCCTGGTGGTNAGCTCCAGCTGTACGTCTGCCTCACTGATGTCTGACTCTGAAGGCAGCCGATAACTGTCATACGGCCCTGGCCCCCTCTCTGCCTCCGACGCAGAGCCCTCCTCAGAGCCTTCCCCAGACTCCAGGACTGGTCCATGTTCCTCCCCAACCTCCTCACTGTCCAAATCTGCTACCAGCTTCGATGGCTGCTGGCGAGCCAGAACACTTACTAGGGAGTCCTTGAATTGCAGCTGTTAGTAAAACAATTGTTGGAAGTCACAACGGCAATGAAAAAAATTGGACTTACAACCTAGGACCCCTGCAGCATCTCCACAGTCGCATGATCACAATGTGGGGGCATCTGACTCAAAACTCTTTCAAAACTACAGAGGCAAAAGTCTAGTAAGAGAGCTTTTACCTGTTTGTTGGAATGTGCCATTCACTATTTATTTGAAGCCCAAAGCACCAATTTGCATCCAAAACAGGACTATGAACAGAATTCATAGTCAAAGACAGCACAACATAAATTTTGGGCTCAATCGTGGTCATAAGTTGAGGACTATCTAGAAAATGTTTGGAGTTAGAAAAGGTGCTCCAGATTCCTCCTAATTTTTTGGCTCCTCCAGACTTAAGATCACTCCTCCAACAATGGATACAAATTTTTAGAAACTTACTCTGTCAGCTTGAATCATATTTGGAGCAAAATAAACACAAGTAGTTCGTAAGGAATGAATCTGGCTAATAAATCATAATCAATTCTCTTTCTCAGGAATGAGCAAATGTCTCTCTATCAAACGAAGCATCGTCAGAAAGACAGTGAAGAGAGGAACATGGCTAAAAAGGAATTGGACATGGCTACAGTAGTCTAGAGAAAAGAAAGACTAGAAGTGACATGATAGCGATCCAATATTTGAAGGGGTGCCACAAAGAAGGGGGGGGGTTCCACCTATTCTCCAATTCCATTGGTGAATGTGATTTATGACACAGACTGGAGAGGGGGGGAGGAGGAAACAGGGGTAAAGTTCAACCACAATTAAAATGAGAGCAGATCTGACTGCAATAGGGTATTGCTGAAATGGTTCTCCTAATAAATGACTGGATTTCTTTTGAAACTTGGCTCGAGGCTCAAGAATTAATTAGGGCATTTTTCGGAAACCTGACACAAAGCCCCTGAAGGCAGGACAAGAAGCAAGGGATGGAAACTAATCAAGGAGAGAAGTAACCTAGGACTAAGAAGGAATTTTCTGGCAGTGAGAACCCTTAATCAGTGGAATGATTTGCTTTCAGAAGTTGTGAATGCTCGAACACTGTAAGTTTTTAAGAAGAGATTGGACAACTATTTGTCTGGAATGGCATGGGTCTCCTACTCAAGCAGAGGGTTGGACTAGAAAACCTCCAAGTCCTTTTCAACTCTGTTAATTTGAATGTTATCTGTTGCTCTGAAGACGGCGTGTGATGTTCCAGTTCAAAGGGATTCAATACTCTGCTCCCATTTCACTGGTGACAATGCAGACTTAATTTGGTTTCTCCTTACCTTTTCTCCATCTCCTGCTTCATATCAATTCCCTGCTTCTCCAGCAATTCTCTCTGGGCAAAAGTCCAGTCGACTGGTTCGGAGGGAGTCTCAGCCGAGGGCGTCTTCTCTCTTTCAGCCCTCGCCTGCTCAGGGTGGTTGAAGCGGAAGACGTGGTTTTTGCCCATAATAATGCGATTTCCTGGAGGGGCAAGAAAAGAGGGTTTACATTAAAATATATTCCTTCATTTATCTAATCACCTTTTGTTTAATTCTAACATTTCATTACTAATCGTATACTTATACAATTCTAATATTATTACACATTAAAATATTTTCATAAAATGTTTTACTTTAGTTTCCCTTTCTTTTTCCTTTATCCAACGTCTTTTACCTCCATCCAAATTTTTTGGCTACTTTTTTTTAGGGGGGGAGGGGCGTTCCCTCCCAAACCCTTCTTTTAGGTTTTTTTAAGCCTTTCGTTTCATCTGCATTTAAATATATATTTTAACTATACATTCCAGCATTCTTCCCCTCTCTACCTTTGCCCACTATCTAGTTTTAAAGCTATTTGTTCTAATCTCTGTCTCTTTTCCCCAACTACCGTATTTTTCGGACTATGAGACACACCAAGATTTCGAAGAGGTAAGAAAAAAAATGTTTTTGTCCTCCCCGACCCCCAGGAGCACCCTACAAGCTTCAGCAGGGATGTGGAGAAGGCAAAAATGCCTGTTTTTGTGAAAAACGGGCTGTTTTCTGCAAAAAACAGGGGCATTTTTGCCTTCCTCGAGCCCTGATAAAGCCTGGGGGTTGGGGGAAGGCAAAAACTCCTCCGTTTTTGCAAAAATGGGGTGTGGGGGTGGGGCTTCATGCGGCCAAAATATGGCTTTATCCAGTGTATAAAACGCACCAACATTTCCACACTCTTTTTTTGGGGGGGGAGAGGAGAAATGTGTCTTATACTCTGAAAAATACAGTATCTTCTGTTTCTCGAAGGGAGATTGATGGGAGAGAGCATGGTCAACCTCAGTGTTTCTCAACTTTGGCAACTTGAAGATGTCGGGACTTCAACACCTAGGAGTTCACACATCTTCAAGTTACCGAAGTTGAGAAACTCTAGTCTACATACCGAAGGACCTCCATTCAATGCCCAACAGTTATGAAAATGCCTGGCAGAGCCGCAAAGCTCTTCCCAATGACTAGCCAATGCTAATAATGGTGGACTAGCCAGGCCAGCATCCACACCGGGAATAAAATAATATCCCGGTAGCATAAAATGGAGCCAGACAGTCAGGCATTCAAGACACATGTCCTCATGAAGAAATAGACATTTTTACCTGAACGCAGCTGTACCGGCTGGATCACCCTTTTGCCATTGACATAGGTTTCTGAGCACTCACACGGTTCCAGGATGACAATCACTAGAAGCAGAAAACACTCAAGTCACCGTCTGAACCGTTGAGAGATCCAATGTATATGAAGGACAGAGTCCTGGGGGAAGCTGGCCGGGAGGTTTTAAAACAGGGGTCCCCGGGTCGTGGCCATTGTGGAACCGGGCTGTGCAAGTGACGGGCTGGTGAGTGCCAACCTATTGCTTGTGTGTTATGGCTCACCAGCGGTCAGAGGAACTGGTGGCAGACTCAAACAGGAGGAGGAGGTTGGGGAGGAAGATGGGCCAGTCCTGGAGTCTGGGGAAGGCTCTGAGGAGGGCTCTGTATCGGAGGCAGAGAGGGGGCTAGGGCTGTCTGACAGTTATCAGCTGCCTTCGGAGTGAGGCAGAAGAACAGCTGGAGCCTATTCCCAATGTGCGAATGCACAGAGCTGTCAGGAGAAGGGAACAGCTAAGGAACAAGTACTGACTTGGGAGTAAAGGCATGAGTGGCCCCTCTCATAGGGAATAAAGAGGAGCGAAGGGGGGGAGGGGAGGTTGCAGGAGACAATTCATTCAATTTATTAGGGTGAAGATCTATTCCTGACTTCTTGCCAAGTAATTGCTGCTACAGCATGGAGTTTAAAAGATATCGGCCTGGCAGCTCTCCAAGCCTGATAAAGATCTGCACTTGTGAACTCTCAGGAAAGACTGTTGGCTGGGACTTGGCTGGAGAGGAATTCCCTTTAACCTAAATAAAAGAGGTTTTATTGGGACGAGGAGTCGGCTTCATGATCTTGGGAAGCCTAGGTGAAAATATTGTGTAAGTTCAGCTGTGTGCACGCACACATGCACCAGCAGCCACTCACACAGCCTGGTTAAAAACAGGCCGTAACCCAGTAATGCGTCCTTGTTTTAAAATA